ATGGGATGGGATGGGATGGGATGGGATGGGATGGGATGGGATGGGATGAGGTGGGGGGCAGCATCTCCAGGGTCGGACCAGCCACATTCCCGACCTCCACACAGGCCCGGGCTGGTGGGGATTTTTTTTTCCCCTTTCCTTTTTATCCAAACGCAGCTCTTGGCTGAGAAGAGCCAGGATGTAGTGGAGGAATATAAACACCATCCTTCAGCAGGGCTGGCGGCCCGGGAAGGCAGCCTGGACTCTGTAACTCGGAGTTTTCCCTGGATTTTGGGAAAGGCAGGAGGCAGCCGTGGGTGTGGGGGTGTGAAACCCGCACTTGGGAAATGGGAAGTGAGAGTGGATAAACTCCACGCTCCAGGTGCAGCTCCCGAACCAAGGTGTGAGTTTGCAGGCCTGGAAATGGGAAAAGTGGCCCAAAATAATCGGCTGGAGGATGGGAATGGCAGATGGGCAGCGGGAGCTGCGCAGGGCTCACAGTGGATAAGCGGCTCACTCGAGTTTAAGGAAAAAAAAAAGCACCCAAATCTAATAATAATAATGATAATAATAACAACAATAACTGTCCTCTCAAGGGCTTGGGTGCTTTCCAGGCCTCGCTGCTGATAAAACTAAAATTGGTTTTGTTGCAGTAAAATAAAAAGGAATGCAAGCAGAGCAGGGAAGGCAGGGAAGGTGGTGTGGGAGCAGCACAGGACCTGGTGCTGCAGAGGAGGGTTTGGAGCAGGAGCTGCCTCTGCTCACTGTTTGCACCCTGGTCTGGGACAGTTTTTTGGCAGAATCCAGGGATTTTGGGTGCCGTGATGGTGGGCGCCCAGCCTGAGGGACCCTCCTCTCGCCAGGGAGGAGCAGCTCCTGCTGGGACATCTCCCAGCTTCCAAAATCCCCCATTCCCAGGGCAAATCCAGCTTGGAGCCCCCAAAAGCGGGAGGAAAACCTGACTCAATGCAATGGTGTGTTAAACCCGGCAGGCATAGCTCCAATCCAGCATTTTTCCCCCTTTTTTTTTTAAATTTTATTATTATTTTTATTTCCCCCTGCTGGCAGTGGAGCTCCAGCCCGTGCGGAGGGGATGCTCCCCATCTGCCTGACGCTGCTCCTGCTGGGGAATTTTGGGAACAGCTGGGATTTGCAGCCGCAAAAACTCCCCGATGGGGCGAGCTGGGGCATCGTGGTGTGGCCAAAAGGATGGATTCTGCTTCCATGGCTTTTTCAGGGCTCCTCCTCCTCCTCATGGAATTCCTCCAGCTGTCCTGGTGCCATCCCGCTGCCAGCCGGCCCTGGAAATGTGGTTCCAATCCAAAGGCTGAGTTTTCCCTCATGTTTTCCATTTCTCCAGCCCCCTCTGCTGTAATAGGAGCTGGAGCTGTCCGGAAGAATGACTACAATGCAAAAAAAAAAAAAAAACCAAAGTGGAAAATTCCCTCCTCAAAGGACAGCAGAATCTCATCTGGCTCTTCCCTCAGCATCCCATGTGCTGTGGTTAATATTAATATTATTATTATTATTATTATTAGTAATAATAATAATAACCAGTGTGCAACAGCTGTTGAGGAGATTTTTGGGTCGGGTTTTTGTTTGTCTGGGCCTGCAGCTCCTCGTGAGAGAGGAGGGGTTGGAAGAGCAGGAGGTTTGGGGACGCGAGGAGATGTTTAAAACAGAATAATGTGGTTGTGACAGTGCAAAAATCCCAGGCTTGCGCTCTGCCAGCCCTGCCCCGGCGAGTTCTGGGATTTCCAGAGGTTTTTCCATCAGGACACGCTGTGCCTGGGGCAGGATCCAGCTCCAGCTCGGGATCAGAGCCACACATCCCACAGATCCCTCGGGATCCCGTTTGCTCCCGGGGTCTCGCTCCCAATTTGGGATCCACGGGTGGGAAATCAGCTCCGACGTCGTCGTTGCCACGCGATGAAAGCGCTCGCAGAGAGAATATTCTGGATTTAAACAGCTCCAGCATCCTGCTGGGGAGAAAGGATTTTCCCAATTTATCAAGAGAAAGGATATTTTAGTGGGATTCGGTTG